ACGCCACACTCGGATAACCGGAATTCACCTCCAGCTTTCATCATCTGTACAAAAATAACTCGACATAAAAAAAGGTTTGTTGTGCCAGATGTGGGTCAGATGAGCCCACGGTGCTCCTGCTACTTGTGGTGAGAAACGTTAACGTTAGCGTTTGATTCCCCTGAAAGTGCAGCGGCAGCCGGACCGCTAATCTTCCTCTTCTTCACCCAACATCACAGCTCGGGGGATTGGGGATTACAACAATAGGATTTAGGATTTATATATTTTTTTATATCTATTTTCCCCACTCACCTCCTTGACTCCTTCTCCCTCTAGGATTGCATTAACCTGGGAGCTAAGAGAGCAAGGTGTGATCTGGTGGTATAAACTGCATTTTTATACTTTAATTTGCATTTGAAAACAATATAATGTGGTGGCATCAGTAATACTGTGAGTAAGTCGAAGTGTAATCAGTTGGTGTATATAAAGTTGTTCCCAATCTGGGGGTCTGGATCCGAAAAATGAAAATGTTCACTGATTGCAAAATGTAGTATTTTTAAAACATTTGTTACCACTTTAGAAGTGTTTAATTTGACAATATTTGTATTTCAATTATTTTTGTTTGTATACTATACTCTATGAGTTTATATATTAATATTTTATTATATTTTATTACATTAATTATCTAAATATATATTTTAAACATTCTATCTATTTATTGCAATTTTCTTACTTTAACTTGTTGTTTTTATAAATAAAATTATCCTACTTTATTTAATTTCAATTTCGTGTTGCACCTTTACTTTAACTTATTGTGTTTGTAAAATAGTCTGATTCCATTTTTTTAATTTCATATTTTGTTTAAATCTTAAAATTATATAATTATTCGTATTCTACTTGAGTTTATCTATGTTTACAGTACTTTTAGTAGTCGGGTGGCCTATCACAGTGTATTCTAACTTACTCTGTATATTTAATACTGGGTATTCTATAAATAATATACTGTCTAGTGTTATATCTAATCTAATCTTTTTATTTAATTTCATTGTCAAAGTGTAACTCAACTTAGATCAAGTATTTTGATTCTGGTTGTTTTGTCAGAAATACATGGTCTGTATCGTGGCTTTTATTCACATCACATGATCAACAGAGAAACTTTTGATTAGTTTGAGCTTCTTAGACATGTTTCTGTGTTATGGAGTATTGAATATCTTTAGGCATCGTGTCCTCACTTCGCAGGACCTCGCTTTACTGGCCTTAAGGGTACACTCGGTCCTCATAAATATAGAAACACAGGAACATGCTCACACACACTAACATGTGTCAAACTCGATCAGGCAGCTCCAGTCATGGCAGGCACGAACACATGCCCTACAACTCCGAAATGCACGACAAGCACTCGTGAATTTACTCATGCATGTTCACCGGCTGTATAGATACAATCCCTCTCTCACACACACACACACACACACACACACACACACACACACACACACACACACACACACACACACACACACACACACACACACACACACACACTCCCCCAGCTGTTTGCCTCTTGCCAATTACTGCGTTCTCTGCCTGTCCTGTCCCCCCCCCCTATAAGCACCTTCCTACTCCCGCTATTTTTAGCCTGAGAGATGGGGGGCTCCTTCACGGCCTAATCACGGCATCCACCGTGCAACCGCTGCCTTCGTATTTTCACCGCTCAACCTCCCCCTCCTTTGTCTCCCACGCTTCAAACTTCCCTCTCCGTCCTCCACATCTCTTGGCCACAGGCTCAGGTAATATACTTGGGAATTCTAAACAAAGGGAAAGTGCAACAGAAAAACAGGCACCAGGCCGACAAACAACAAAGCAATTAGCCAGTGTTTGGTCTGCTGGAACAACCGTGACCTTTCAGGAAACCCCCCCTTCCTGTGAGAGACGGCCGGGCCGCAGCACAACAGCCAGCATTCTTGGAAGTGTGTGAGCGCTTTCTTCAGGAGGTCACCACGACTTATCGATGTCGACCTTTTGTGGTCTAGACAGCAACAGTTGCTTTGTTTGTTTTTTTGCTATTGAACCCTTTTAAATGTAATATAAAGAGACGGGAAAAAAGGATGACTGTATTTGTAATATTGTTTGTATAATGGAAAAGTCTGGTGGCATTCTGTTTTTTTGTTGTTTTTTTTAAACAAATCCAATGAAAGATGAACTAAAGACGAAGAACATTTTGTTCTTTAGTTAAGTCGTGATATAGCATCCTTTAAGCCCCAGACCTACAGTGTTTCCCAACAAAATTATAAATAAATATAGAAACATAGCAAAAGGTGATTAGTCCCACATTAAAAATTGACAAAGACACTATGGTTGATTTTGCAGACCACACGTGTAAATCGTAGCTGAAATAAGTCCTTGTTAAAGCAATAATGACTCAGGTTTAAGAAAGATTTTGGAGAAAAAACAGAACAAAAGTTTGCCTTTTTTTAAACAATCAAGGTTTTTATCTGTGACCTGACAACGAGCCACAGACAGGGTATTGATAGAAGGACTGTAGCACAGTAGACGCTGGGCTTTTCATGTGATTATTTGACTAAAACAAATATATAAAATGTCAGAAACCATAATTTTTTTTGGACAGATGTAGTCTAACATTTGGAGACATTTTTTTCTATTTTTAGACCTGGATCTAAAAGGTTTTAGCAATTGAAAAAAACGGTTGTGCAGAAAGGTATGTTTATATTTCTCTAAAAACGAAATAATATTTTGGTTTTGTCAAACTCAGGAATCCACACTATTTCAAAAACATTTAACACTTCAAATGCTAAAAGAAGTAAGGTGACAATATGGTAACTATATTATATTTTCATATAACATAGTCATCCCTGTTCACTTTTTCTGGCAAATGCCATGATGGGCAATCATAAAGGAGGTTTTCAGTATGTTCTCTTCTTGTGATCCGTCACTACTGCTCTGGCAGATAAAGGCTCCCCCTCTCCTACCGCCTCTCCTCACGCTACTCTTTGGGGAGTTTAAGCAGCCTGCGTGCACCTCACGTTTCCAGATGATGCATTATATTCCTCAAGGACTCCTAACCTGCTTCTTATCAGATTTCACGTCTTTTTTGTCTCCTTTTCCTCTGTGCTCCAAAAGGAACAGGTTACATATTTGTATCAACCCAGCCCCAGACTTGTGAGTGTTCCAAATTCCCTTTGATTACACCAGATTGTAAAGAATTTGTGTCCACAGGGGTTTCAAAATGAGTTTATCTACTGCAGATTGTTTCTTTTATGCATAATAAAACCCACATGCTCTCATGTTGGCTAAGTTGACATTCTGGGAAGTTTCTGAAACACATGACGAAAGCTTTTCTTTACACTCAATAAATACTTGTTTGAAGAGGCAGAAAATGCTACCACTGAAGTTCTAGAAACAAACGTCAATTTGTTGCCTTTAAGTTTTTCTTCACAATCACAATCCTCCTCTCTTCATAGAGTTTGTTGAGGATAAAGGGTCATAACCCCCAAACAAGGGTTTCCTTTGGTCAGTATGTTTTCCCAAAGGATGAAGTTACATCTGAACCAGAAAGCTAATCCATAGCGCGGTATCTGAGGCGGCCAGACCACACAGCAGTTGAGGTCAGGAGGGTTGTCGACCTCTTTAGCTACATTTCTCTCGGACAGACAGAGGGAAGTGCACTCAGGTTAATTTAACTAAACAGGACTAATGTTTGTTGAAGCTGCTGTCTGCTACCTGCTACTGCCCTGTTATGTCTGTCTGTGGCATGTAATGTCCGCTGAAAGGTTTACGGTGGGTCAGATGAAAGATACGTTGATTTGATAAGAGCAAACATGTTGATTGTATTGATCATTTCATAATAAGAGGACAGGAAACACATTCAATGACATGAATGTCTTCCAAAGAGAGTGTATTCCCATCACCATTTCTTTTTTTTTATTGTAAAAAAGTCTGAAACATCACTATTTAAAATGGTTGCAATATAGGAATTTGAAAATGTTACTTATTGGATTGAAAGTTAAGCACATTTGCTAAAGCTTCACCAAGGGAGATATGTATTCAGTGTGTTTGTTTGAAATCACTTGTGTTCTGACTGATGAAGTTGAAAAATCGAATGTCAAAACTGACTTTTCTATCCTGTTCATCCCATACTAAAAATGATTTCAGTGAACATTTTTTGAACCAAAACATCCAACATTCCCTGGTTCCAGCTGCTCGAACATGAGAATCGGATATCCCACCTGCTGAAACTATTTACAAAAAGTCTCATAAATTCCCGCGCTAATTCAATCCAACTAAATAAGTAAATGATCTATACTTAAAGAAGAAAAAATAATATATGATATAATGGTTTGTTTTGTCTGTCTTCGTGTTAAAAATCTTTACACAAGAAATTCACACATTTCTAGCTACATAGCTGGTGTGAATTGGTGCAACTGCTATGGTGTCAAATCAAAGTGGGGAACACCAACAACAGACCTTGCTTTGTAGATCTGTGTTTGCAGTGTTATTGGTCTGCCTTTGACAAGCTATATGTGTACCATTATGTCTTTTAACACTTGTAATGCTTGATGCAGCTTTCTTTACTTCTGTCCTATGTACTTTATGCATCCTTAGGCAACACTTCCTGCTTTTGTCTTTTTAGACAGAAGCGACTACACAATCTGTCTTTCTATCCGACACACAAGATACACCCCC